AATTACATCTAGGCTTTTCTATTTAATATTATTTATTTAAAAATACCAATAAAATCTTTGAATAACGTCTTTGACCCAAACCATTTTTTTTGTTGCAGTTCTATGGTGAGAATTGTGGAAAGGAAGATCCCCATTCTTTGATCCCTCCCATAAATGTCTGTGGCCTTTGTTGCAGGGCAGCCTTTTGACCCAAGAAGAAATTTGGCAAGTGCTGTTTCTAATGTGATCTGTGCAGTCGTCTTTGGCAATCGATTTGATTACAAAGATCAAACCTTCATAGAGAACCAGCAGATTGTGGAGTCTCAAATACGATTTCTGACTAGTTTCCTAGGACAGGTATGTTTTTCCTCTCTGATGCTCTTCCTGCCATAAACACTCATTTTTACTAGTGGGCCTCTCTGTATGTTCAAATATCCAAATAAGGGATGTGGAGGTTACTGTAGATGTGATGAGCTACTAAGCAGGAGAAGTCAAATCCAGACATCCAGCAACACTGAGCCATCAAAATATAAATTCGTTCTCAGCAAACCTTCTTTCCTGGCTGGGCTTATTTCCCATGGGATCATTTCATTCTCTCGTAACTGCTGTGAGCCATGACCTGCTTATTTCTAGGACTTGCCCATTTCTTAACTAGTCAGGGATGGCCAAACATGGAATTTCACTGGAGGGGCTGATTCCTCCTAATTGTAATGTTTCACTTAATTTTTTCATCCCTTGACTGAAAAGTTAACTTTAGTTCTCAAACATATTTCCATGTTGTTCTAAGAAATGACAATAGCATTATCCCCAAGCTATTAGGTTTGTGATATAAGAGGAATATCAATATTATGATCAAACTTAAAGGTATATTATTATAATATTTTTAAAAAGTACAATGCTACTTGTTTAACTATAAATAATATTAGCAGCACTAATCATCATATCAAATTATGCACAGGCGCCTCTCTTCTTATCATGGTATTTTTAGACATTTCCCCTATTCTTATGTCCTTTTTTCCTCCCTCTTTCGAGAACTATCACCATTTTCATCATTATCCCTTCATGGGATAGCTGGGATGAGGCTAGAAAAATGGTGGGCAAGTCCCTTGACAGAATATATCCTGCATGGAAATCAGCCTAGATGAGGGAAGATCTGGGGAAAAGGCTTTTCAAAGAGATTCCCTTTTAACGAACTTATTATAAATAAAAATTCCTACCATGCAGTAGTTCCCAAGACACTGTATTTACTCAACACTAAAATTAAAGATAGCTTACTGAAATTCTTGTGCAACTTGTCTTCTTGGTCTTGGCACCTAGCTGAGGTTTGATAATTAACAATATCAGACTAAAAGCTAATCTCTGAATATTTGGGGCATTAAGCCTTCACCATTATGGTCTAAAACATATAATGTTTAATGTCAACTCTGCAACAGGTGTACAATACTTTTCCAAAAACAATGGAATACTTTTTTGGACGATATATCAACTCTTTTGCCGAGGCTGAAAAAGTTTGTGATTATATCCGTGAGAAGGTGGAATTGCACAAGAAGACATTGGATCCCCAGAATCCACGTGACTATATTGATTGCTTCCTTCATAGAATGGAAAAGGTAGGCAAAGATACCATTTCTGCATAATTGTCTAAATATCTCCAATATGTATCTAAGATGAAACAAGTTCACCTCGTATGAAAGAATATGAAAATGTTTATTCCCCCTTCTTTCTTACTTTAATTTGCCATTTGTTAACATGTACTCCTATGCCCGACATAATTAAAAATGAATAAGTATAGACATTTGCTTTACATGCTAATTTACATATCTTCTACACTCTTAATAGGTGATATAAAGATAATCATTCATCTTGCAGGAGCAATTTCTATTAGAATTAGTCTCTCAGATATAACATTCAAGCTTCTAGGCTCAGATCTAATCCTGTTTTCCCATCATACAGTTTAAGAGTTCCTTTTGTCCAGCTCTAAATAACAACCTTTAATTCTGGTAATTTCTTGTGGTAAATATTTGATAGGTAGATCAGAGAGGCAAGTTGTTTCCTCTCTGCATCAAACGGTGATTGCATAAATGCTTTACAATTGAAAAATTCTCCTATATAATCTAATGTTAGTCTGGTAGAATTAAGTTTCCTTTATAACTGAAAGAGACTATGAAGAGTTTCATGAATTACTTTAAATCAACCCCATTTTCATCCTTATGTTTCTCTTTCTATTTTCTTTTTTGGAGCAGAACTCATCTGAGGGAATCTACACTCCTGAAGATCTTGTGATTACTGTGCTTAGTCTCTTTACTGCTGGGACAATAACCACAAGCCATGCTTTGCTATGCAGCCTCCTAGCAATGGCTAAATTGCCACACATTCAAGGTACAGAAATAACCACAAATATATAAAGATGTCAACTCTTTAGGGCAGGGGTCTTCAAACTTGGCCCTTTTATGACTTGTGGACTTCAACTCCCAGAATTCCTCAGCCAGGCATGCTGGCTGAGGAATTCTGGGAGCTGAAGTCCACAAATCATAAAAGGGCCAAGTTTGAAGACCCCTGCTTTAGGGCCTCCAGTATTAATCCTGGAAAAAATAAAGTAAGGATGCTGTTGAGTAAAGAAAACTCATTGCAGATGCATTTCTGCAGTTTACCTGGGAAGTTTTTGGAAGTGTTTGCCAAGATCTTCTTACAGAATGTTTTGTTTTGTTTATTTCCCAGTTTAACTAACATGCCCTTGGAACAACTGGGCTTCCATCAAATCTTGAGATTACATGAAGACAATTCTAGTAAAATAATATCCACTAGATCAAGGGTCCCCAATCCTGAGTCCTTGGAACAGTATTGTTGGGAACCAGGCCATGCAAGCAGGGGGCGAGTGCTTGAGGCTTCATTTGAGCATGCGTGGGAGTTAAGTTGCGCATGTGAAACCAAACCCTCCCTCCAGCCACTAGTGCTGTCGGTCCATGGAGCCAGAGAGGTGGGGACCACTGCATTAGGTCATGAAGAGGCAAGATGTGATTGAATGCTTTGTGCCACTTGTAGCTTTTGTATTGATTGTGAGGTTAGTGTTCATGTTTCACTGCCATATGTTAGAGCAGGTAGTACACACTGATCAAAAACTTTTCTCTTCAGGCATAGGGGGAAGTTGTTCTTGAAAATTATACTTAGCTTGATGAATGCCTACCAACATATCGATCAATTTCCTTTATTGTATCACCTTCCATTGACATCCATTGGCCAAGGTATATGCAGTGGCCTACTATATCTAGTTCTTCTTCAGATATTTTTTTTTCTTTCTTTGGTGAATTTATTAAACATAACCTGGCTCTTTTTCAGGTTTATTTTTAAGCCAAATGGTTCTCCTGTTTTGTGCAGCTCTCATATGTCTCTTTGCAGCTCTTCTGGATCTTGGGAGAAGAGAACAATATCATTTGCAAATCTTAAGTGATTTAAATAAGCGCCAGTTATTTTTATTCCATTTTTTGCCCAGTCTAGTTTGCAAAATACTTCTTAAAGGCAGACTGAGAATAGAATAGGGATATTGTATTGACTTGTTCTATGTTAATTTCCACTTTAAGATCATCAAGGCAAATTGTTGCCATTGTTTTTCATATATTGATTGTAGTAAGTTTATGTAAGAAGTATCTATGCCTTGGTTGAGCAATGCCCTAATTATTGCTTGCTGGAATTCTGAGTTGTAGTCAATGAAATCCATGCATCAGTTATTTTTTCTTTTCTGAGGCAACTCAAGTATAGTTTTGCTAGTAAACTGTGATCACCAGCTTTCATAATTTCAACCCTAACATAGTCTTCTTGCACTAGAAAAATTGAAATGATCTCCACTGAGAAATGACTTTGAGGAGGAGCCATTTTCCTGACTGGAAGTGTCTTCTCTGAACGTGCTTTGGAAAACATGTTTCTATTCAAGTGGTAGCTGACTGTGGGTGCTCAGTACAATACAGTAAAAGGTTGTCAATCTCATCTCAGTATGTTTTTCTCACAGTTAAGGTGCAACAAGAGATTGATGAGGTAGTGGGTACAAATCGCACTCCAAGCATGGAAGACCGGTTGAAGATGCCTTTCACAAATGCTGTGGTCCATGAGGTTCAACGTTATCGGACTGACCGCCTTGAAATCTTTCCACGGGCAACAACTTGTGATGTCAAATTCCATGGTTACAACATTCCCAAGGTGTGGCAATAATAATTACTGGTAAAGATATTCTGCAGAAAAAAAAAATAGATGACTGTTATCAGGGCTTTTTTGGTCATAGAACGCACAGGAATGGAGTTCCGGCACCTTTTTTCAACGGATTTGTGCATCGTAACATTAATATTATTAACTTACCTTGAACAAAATCCTAGTCTTTTAGATACACTAAAAATTGAATGGTTTTTTTCAACTACAAAAGTAAATCTTGTAGGGTAGGCAAGGCGGGTTGTATGACCTGTGTGAGTTCCGGCACCTTTTTGTTTTTTACAAAAAAAGCACTCACTGTTATATAGTCAAAGATCCTTCATATTCAAGGCAGTTTGAATAAGTATGTATTAATATGCATTATTAGTGGCATTGTGAATTGCCTAGAGTCACTTTGGATACTGACATGGGAAGTGTACAAATTTAATAAATTAATTAATTAAACCAAATCTCTCTCCCTTCATTCCATTTCAGAATGTTTGCAGATTGCTCCCTGCTGGCCTATTTTATTTGACACAAGTGAGGCTCTTTATTCTCTGGATGAAGTAGCACCAATTAATGTCATCTGTTTCTTTACCTCCTTCTTCTAGTACATGGCTGTTGTGCCAGTCCTCC